CCCAAAATATTTCCCCGTACCTCATAAGCAAAACCCTTCCTCCCCACACTGCATCTGCATCTACATCCTGAAATCCCTCAATTCTGCTTCTAATTTCCTTGTCATTACAAGGGCTAATTTTGTAAGAAAATGAACTTGAACATTCTAGCTTTTAACTGCTGACTAAGCAATTAAATCAGGCTTCCAAAACTGTAAAACCAGTTTGTCCCATCTTTGCTTCAAGTATGCCCACAGCCCAGAACAATCCACTAAGTGATTCATTACCTAATTTTCAAATGAGGCAGGCATACTGCCACGCAATTATTACTCCAAGCACAGTTTCCAGGACTTCTGTTCAGCCACAGCCTGTTAAAAGAACATTGCTGCCCATTGAGCAATTCAGTGTCATTGCATCTGCTGTCTCCTGCAATCAAAAGGGTTTCTGTGGTGCTGGACTATCTCCACAACTTGATTTCCAGAGAAATAGCCACCTTAGCTTGTTGCAAGAAGTTCGACAAGGCCTTCTGCACTATCAATTTCTTCATATGTTTTTATGGACTACAGTTCCAGGTTTTTTCCTGGAACAAAACAGACCTTGACTCAGGGAAGCTTAAGGCCATATTGATCTTCAACCATTCAAATGGAAACTCAAAGTACTCTGACTTCCTCACCTACAACTTCCAGTAAGCCCAAGCATTTACTAAAGAAACAGTCCCTCTTACAGTCATCAAGAATATAACAATACATTAGAAACAAATCTACCATATCACAAAAATTATTTGGCATCCCCTTTGAACAGAGAACTTAACCATTAGAAGCTCCAACAGAGATGAATAGCTGTTCCAGAGAGAAGAGGGCCTTAATGGAAAATCACCATCTCCAGCCTCCCCACCCTGGATTCTCACTCACAGCTTCCCTTCTGAACACATGCAGACTATATAGGGAGATTATACTTGAGTCAGTCTGTCCCACAGGTAACTGAATACCAAGCTAGCCAGGGCTTTATAGATTAACACAAGCACTTTGAATTGTACTTAGAAGCCTGCTGGAAATCAGTGCAAAGTCCACGACACCATTGTTGTGGGTGTACATCAGCTTTCACCTGCCAAAAGTTGGGTTGCTGCATTTGGTACCAATTGCAGCTTCCAAGCAATCTTCAAAGGCAGCCCCATGTAGAACACACTGCAATGAACTGTTTGAGAAATGACAAGGCCATTTCACCAGGCCTTGTCACCAGGGACTCATGAAATGGGACTTATTTCTCTTGTAAAGCCTGTGAATGTTTTGACCTGGAAGCAAATGAAATGGCTGACAGGGAAGTTATTTTACCCCACAATATTGTTGTTTGTGCTGTGTTATACAGATTCCATTCACAATGCTTAGACATAGGTTAAGGGTTAGGGGTTAGGGTTACCCAAACTCTTGACAAACCTTTACAGGAATCATGCAACATCCTTGCATGGAAAGTCAACATCCGTTCCTGCCATATGAAGCCTGGAGTCCCAGCTCGATTCAAGAATTTTAATCCAGAACTGGAAGCATCCAGCCACCCAGCAGTTTCTGTGATTGTCATCAGCAAATCCAAGCAAAAAATAATGGACGTGGAAATACATGCAACCTCATAACTTTGAGGTTATGCACGGTCCAGCGGAGGCCCTGGCTGCTGCCTGGAATAGAGAAGCGGCCGGGGCCTTGGACAGGATCGCGCCTTTGTGCCCTCTCTTGCCACGCTGGCCCCGACACTCCCCATGGTTTACAGAGGAGTTGAGGGCGCTGAAGAGGGTTAAGAGACGTCTAGAGCACCGCTGGAGGAAGACACGGACTGAATCCGACCGAACACATGTTAGAGCCACTATTAAGGCCTACATTGTGGCGATAAGGGCAGCGAAGCGCCAATACTTCTCCACCCTTATTGCGCCTGCAGAGTGCCGCCCAGCGGTCCTGTTTGGGATCACTAGGTCCCTCCTTGGTAAGGGGGATGTGGTGGTTCATTTGCAGGGCCGCACGGAGGAATTTG